CAGTGGAATCTTGTGGGTGAAAGGCCTGTGTTTGTATGACAAGCATAGACCAATTGGTGAAGAAGCCAAACCCAACCTCATTCTTTTCTTTTTAATTTTAGGTTATTGCGATGAGAATACAGAAGATGTGGCTGGCATTGTGGCACAGCAAGTTAAGCCACCATCTGTGACAGCATCATCCCACGTGAGCACTGGTTCACATTCTGGGTGCTGTGCTTCTGATTCAGGTTGCTGCTAATGCACCTGCAAAAGCAGCAGATATCCAAGTATGTGGACTTCTGCTCCTAACTTCAGCCCAGCCCAGGCCATTGCAGCCAACTGGGGAGTGAACCAGCCAATGGAAGATCTCTCTTTCTTTGTAACTCAAGTAAATTTAAAAACAAAAACAAATAAACAAAACAAAACAAAACACACAGAGAAAAATTCAACACAGCTTTGGAATTTGCGGAGCATGGGCCACACTGAGGTGTTAGGGGACCGCCCCTTTCCCTGATTTCTGCTTGGCAAGCTGAGGATGAAGCCCTTTGCCCTTGGACTTTGCAGTAATAAACGGTGTCTAACATTAACAGTGTCTACGAAATCCTTATTCCTTTTCTGTTAAGTGACATCGTTTATTTCCTCTCTCCTTAAATCTGGGTTGGGCCGAATACCTAACCAACCATATGCAGAAGTGACTGTCAGTTTTCAAAGCAAAATTTTAGTAAGACTGACAGCTTCTTCTTTTTCTTTCCCCTTGGAGAGCAGGACAGCAGTGAGCTGTGCAGATGAGAGCTCCATGTCCTTCTGGTCAGTTGCCTCTTCTCTCACAGTCCTTTGGGTTGGCCAGTGGTGGAAGCGGGAATTGCTGGGGATGTGTGAGCAGACAATCTTTCCAGGACCTCATGCAGCCGCAGAGGGGCAGTTCGTCCAAGGAATGTGAGGGCTTGTTATGAAAAGCGGGAGCTGAAGGCTGTGCCCGGTGAAGTGGCATGTGTTTGCTGTACTTCCCCATGCATTTGACAAACACTCCCAGCTCAGGCAGCTGTGGCACTTGAAGGAGCCATTGAGTCATCTGGAAAACACAAAGTTGTGGAAGAATGCAGTGTCATGTGGAAAAAATAGGAACACGCCTATTGGTGCCGCGAGAACTGTTTAAACTGCTTGCAGATGCTATGCTTCTGTCCTGAATACAGAGGAGAGTCAGCTGCAAACTTGGAAACAAGAGGCTTCAACCAAGTGTGGAGTCGCTGATGGGAAGGAAGTAAAACTGATGCAATTAGGAAAAAGCTGTAACAGAAACCAACATGTTGTTCAGCCTACTTATGGAGGCCAAGTGTACAGACATAAACCCAGCTAGAAATTCTCAGCATTTCTATTAAGAACAAATACCATAAAAAAGAACAATAAGAGAGTTTAAGCCAAGTCAAAAAAACAAGGTTGGGGGATGAGGAGGGAAGAAAAGGAGTAGGCATTTGGCAGAGTGGATTAAGCCACTGCGTACAAGGTTAGCATTCCTTCTCAGAGCTCCATTTCCAATCCAGCTCACTGCCAATGTGCCTGGGAAGGCAGCAGTTGCTGGTGCTAGACATTGGGCTTCTGCACTCACATGGGAGACCTGGGTGGAGTTCCAGGTTCCTGGCTCTGCCTTGGCCAGCCCCAGCCATTGCATCCATATCGGGGAATGACCCAGATAATGGAAGATTCTCTCTCTCTCTCTCTCTCTCTCCCTAACTCTGCCTTTCATATCAATAAAATAAATATTTAACAGCAAACACTTGGTTCTCTTGAAAGCACAAAGGGCGTGTAGATCTGAGATAATAAATATGTCATCTCTCCTCAAAGGAATTGATGAATTCAGTGAGAATCTCAGCTGAACGACAGAGCAAGCCTCAGCCAATCCAAACCCCTTGAAAATGTGATCTAGAATGTACAGGAAGAGTCCCTGTCCTCAGCTGTCATCTTCAGAGACAATGAACTTCCTCCTAGTTTTTTTTTTTAAGAGTTACTTTATTTATTTGAAATGCAGAAAGGGAGAGAGAGAGAGAGAGAGAGAGAGAGAGATGATCTTCCATCTGTTGTGTCACTCCCCAAATACCTAAACTTCCAGGGCTGGGCCACTCTGGGGCCAGGAGGCTGGAGCTCTATCTGAGTCTCACATTGGGTGCAGGGGCCCAAGCAAGCAACTGGGTCATCTCTTCCGCTGCTTTCTCGGATTCTTTAGCAGGGAGCTGGATCGGAACTGGAATGCTCAGGACTCTTACGGGTTGCTTGCATTTTAGGCAGCGGCTTAGCCTTCTGTGCCAAACACTGGCTCCCTCCCCAGGTTTTGGTTGTGTCTCTGTCATTGAATGATCTGTAAGTACAGCTGCAATGGCTGGAGCTGGGCCAATTTGAAGTCAGGAGCTTCTGCTGGATCTCCCATGTGGGGTGCAAAGTCCCACGGCTTTGGCCCAACCTCCACAGCCTTCCTAGGCCACAAGCAAGGAGCTGGAAGGGAAGTGGAGCAGCCAGGACATGAGCTGGAACATGAACTGGCACCCATGTGGGATCCTGGGGCTTGCAAGGAAGAGGATTTAGCTACTGAGTCATTATGCCAGGTCCAGCTATCTGCTTTTGTAAGCAGGCTTGTTATATGACTGGTCTAAGGTATAAATTGATTGGGTTATTAAATAAATAATTTGTAGTAGCACCACCTAAGTTGATTGGAAGATCCCTGGTTGCTGCATGTCATGGGAGCTTAAAAGCTCCTGACTTCAGCTATGCAGCGAGGTGGTTCCTGGAGTGCAGCAGCAGGAGCTGCTGTTGCTAAGTTTGGCCACTGAAGACTCCTCCTAACATCCTACACTTGGTGTCTGGCGTGATCTTTCTCACTTTCTGTAACACAGGCAACCAGTTTTAGCCACTATGCCACAGTGCCAGCCCCTGCTTACTACTTCTTGATTGCTTTGAGCTCAAAAGTATTTATGTCAGAGGCATACTGTGTGGTTGGCACAGCCCCTGGGTGGTCAGGATCCAGCCAGGCCTCAGCTGCCCAGGGAAAGGCGGGGCCAGCACTCACACAGGCCTGCCTGCTTCCACACAAGGTTCCCTTGCCACACCTTTGTTCCATATTTGCCCTGTATTATTCATTTGTCACAGCTCTGTCAGTCCACCCACTTAGTCTGCCAGGCAGGCGTGATGCGGCAGCTGTGGTCTCCCATTTACGCAGCTCCTCATTGCCTCCAGCCTTCTATTTTGGTTCCCAGTATTCAGACAAATTGCTCTAGGCAGATAAGTAACAGTAGCTGCAAACAGTTTTGTCTCATCACCCCTTCCAGCTGTCTGGTTCAAGCTCATTTTTTTCACTCCCTTTAAGATTTATTTTATTTATTTAAAAAGCAGAATTACAGAAAGATATAGAGAGAGACAGAGAGAAGTCTTCTATCTGTTGGTTCGCTTCCTAAATGGCCACAATGACTGGAGCTGGGCTAAGCCTACCCTAGCAGCTTCTTCTGGGTCTCCCACATAGGTACAGGGGCCCAAACACTTGGACCATGTTCTGCTGTTTTCCCAGATGTATTAGCAGAGAGCTGGATTGGAAGTGCAACAGCTGGGACTTGAATCGACAACCAGTATGGAATGCTGGTATTGCACATGGAAACTTAACACAACATGCCATAACACTGGCTCCTCGAGCCAACTTTTCTTTTCTTCTTCTTTTTTTTAAAAAAAGATTAATTTGTTTTTAGTGGGAAAACAGATTTATATAGAGAAAGCGAGTCAAAGAGAAAGATTTCCATCTGCTGGTGGCCAAGTGGCCACAGTGGCTGGAGCTGAGCCGATCTGAAACCAGGAACCAGAAGCCAGGAGCTTCTTCTTCCCAAGACTTTGGGCCATCCTCTGCTGCTTTCCACAGAGAGGGCGGTGGATGGATGGAAAGTAGAGCAGCCAAGACATGAACTGGCACCCATATAGGATAGCGGTTCTTGAAGGGGGAGGATTAGCTAATTAAGCCATTGCGCGGTCCAGCTACTTTTCAACCAAACTAATCCAGAAACTTGAGAAAGGAGTGGGCAGGAAATTTTTTGTTTGTAACTGATGGTAACCAAAGAGCTGTGGGCAATCTGTTGCATTCATCTCATTCAAGAGGTAAACAGCAAAAATACATACAGAAAGGACCCCAGCTAGAGTCATGTCATCAAATGTACTCAGCTGTTCCATTGTGATCCTAGTAAACTCCAGTGTTAGCCCACCTGACTCACAGAAGCGTGGTCATGAGTCACTGACGAAACCCAGCTCCAGCAACCTCACCCTCAATGCTCCACCCACTTGTGGTCTCTAGTTCATAAAATGTCTGCCACACCATGGCCAGTTGATAACCACAGATGTTTGCCTAGACATGAAGGCAGTGCTGCCATACCTTTTTCTTCATTTGATCCCCAATACACCTGTGCGTTGGCTGGGGCAGGTGTTATTTTGTAAACGAGGCAGTGTGACAATGCATCCATGTTGGTAGGTGATACACAGGTGTCCTAACTTCCAGCCTTTGGCAGTTTCTTTAATCTTCCCTTCCTTCCTCTCAAAGCATTTGTGGAGTCCTTCGATGGGCCAGGCTGTGGGCTTGGCACTGGCATCCAGTGTCAGTAGGACATGCTGACTCCTCTGGGCAACACACACCTATCGAGAACTGATAATAGAACTAGGAGAAGAGGGAGGGCAGCTCAGGAGAGGGAGGGCTGCTGCCAGACCCAGGAAGGTCTTGAAGTCTCTGCTGGAAAGTGTGGACATTGCACGGACCACGGAAACGGGTGAAGCAAGAAAACCACAGCAGTCTCAGGTTGCAAGAAGGCTCGCATGGAGGCCATCATGTGGTAGATGATGAGACTCACATGAGCCTGCAAGGCCCTGAGACCAGTCAGGAGGTTGTTGCAACAGGCCCACCAGGGTGTGCAAAAACAGGGTATGGGGCAATGGAAGTGGTGAGGTAGGGACTATTTCACAGGTGGAGCTCTGAGACTTGGTAGTGTGAGATGACACACATAGAGGAAGAATCCCATGACGGGGTTCCCCCTGCTTTTCCCGGTCGTGGGCCTCACTGCCATACTCTCCAGGGAACATACTCGCACAGAAACCGCTTTCTCAGGAATGGCTCGCCCTCATGCAGATTTGATAGGCAGCAGCTGCTGTGTCTTGCCACCTTCTGGAGCCTGGTCCTTCTGCACACAAGGCCAGAGTGTGAAATAGCCCTGGATGTGCCTGGTCACTTTCCACCGTGGTCACCAGGGGACCCAATGGGCACTCGAGAGAGTTGGGCCAATCTAAGGCCCCTGGGATCTTGAAATTGGGACCAAAATCACAGCTACAACTCTCCTAAAATGACAGCAAAGGTAAACTTGGGCGTGGGCTAAGTGGCTGCTTCTTAATTTAAAAGGTTAGTGATGGGTGTTTGGCCTAGTGGTTAAGACGCTTACATGCCACCCATACTGGAGTGCCTGGTTCCAATTTTCAGCTCAGCCTTGCTATTCCGACTTCCTGCCTAATGTAGATGCTGGGAGCGGCCATGATGGCTCAAGTGATTGGGTTCCTGCCCCCACTTGGGGCACCTGGATGATTCTCCAATTTGTAGCTTCAGCTCAGCTGTTTTGGCCTTTGCAGACATTTGGGTAAATCAATCAGTGGATGAAACGGGCTTGCCTGCATATGTATCTCAAATAAATAAGGAGTGTAATAACATGTGTGCTCAGGGAAAAGCAGAGATGCAACAAGTGGGCTCTCTGCGTTTCCCGCAGCACCTGCAGCATAGCTTCTACTTCAGCCCATGGCCAAGGTGAAATTCCACCCAGCTCCACACTGAGTGTGCTCTTGCAAGTATCACTGCAGCTCAAACAGGGCTTGGTGCAATGGCCTAGTGGCTAAATCCTTGCCTTGCATACCCAGGATCCCACATGGGAGCTGGTTCATGTCCTGCCTGGTTCACTTTCCATCCAGCTTGTGGCCTGGGAAAGCAAGCAGTCGAGGATGGCCCAAAGCTTTGGGACCCTGTACCCATGTGGAAGACCCGTAAGAGGCTCCTGGGTTCAGATTGGCTCAGCCTTTGCAGCCACTTGGGGAGTGAACAGCAGATGGAGGATCTTTCTATATCTCCTTTCTATACATCTGCCTTTCCAATAAATAAATAAATAAATAAATTAGAGATTACAGTACATAGAGATTTCCCCCATTTTGGTTATGATACAATGGTATTGCAGAGAACATCTGCATTAGATTTATTCAAATAGTTTGCTTATGCACATTTAGGTGAGTTCAGTTTTCTCTATGATAAGCAAGGTTTGAATAACCTTGTAGATATGCCATTTCTACACAAACTTGAATAAATCCATAGAAAAAAATTCCTGTAGGCGAAATCACTGCATCAAAGAGAATAAAAAATATTCCAAATTACCCTCTTGGAGGCTTGTACCAATTTATACTCTCACTAGCCATTAGAAGATTCTGTTTTCCCACACGGCATTCTACATGTATGTCTAGAAAAATTCTTCTGGGGCCAGGAAGCATTGGTTGGAGGGAGAGTGCCTGAGGACTCCAGGGAGGGATGCTGTATTCTGTCTTCAGTGGGGCTGGGGCAGACTCACTTTCTTTGGGAGTCCAAGGTTTTCAGGAGGCAAGGACTTTGAGTTTAGTGTTAAAAAGGCAGGAATTTATCAAAAGTTGTGGGCGTAGAAGGTGGGCTTGGAGGTATATGTGGTCATGCTAGCTCTTCTGGAGTGTCTGGTCTGGACAGATGATTTTTACACAGGAAAAAAGCTGTATGCCTCAGGATGCTCCATGCAAAAATGATCTACAAGAATAAGAAATAGGAAGCAGTTTGGCTAAGGTTAAGAAATCATGATAGATGAACACAATGGAAAGTAATATAATCATCATCATCATAGGTCGGCACCAGGGCATAGGAGGGTAAGCCTTTTCCTGTGGTGTTGGCATCCCATATGGATACTGGTTTGAGTCCTGGCTGCTCTACTTCTAACCTAGCTCCCTGTCATTGTGCTTGTGAAAGCAACAGAAGATGACCTGAGTTCTTTGGGCCCCTGCACCCTTTTGGGAGATCCAGAGGAAACTCAAGGCTCCCGGCTTCGGACTAGCCAAGCTCCATCCCTTAACATCCATCTGGGGAATGAACCAATAGGTGGAAGATGTCTCTCTCATTTTCTCTATAAATCTGCCTTTCTAGTTAAAATAAACAAATCGTTAATAATAATAAAAATAGTGGTAATAGAAGTTACTATTTATTAAAAAAAAAACACTGTGTGTTAGGTACTAGGTTAACTGTTATGAAGTTCTTTTAAAAATTGAGTCAAATCATTATATCAACTCTAGGTAATGTACCATAGTGTTCAGTTTCCAGACAAGACCCAGAGGATCAAAGGTGACAAATGAACTTGCCCATGGTAACATAATAAGGAGCTCACGGAGCCAGGATCCCCATAAAGGAGTGTGACCCCACAAACTGTGTTTTCACCCATGAAAGAGCCCCTTTCCCTTTACTGACCCCTTGTGTACTCTGGGCAGGTGTTCTTTGAGCTGAAGGCATCATAGGTGGGACAACGGGCTCAGGAGATTAAGTGAACTATTCAGAGGAAACATAAAGAATCCATGACATCATGGGAAAACGGTTGCTAAAGAATGTGAAAAAGAAAGCAAGCTGTGTGCGCAATTGTTTTGTTGTGCTGATCACAGCTATATAAAAACAAAAATATCTGTGGGTGTGCTGACGGCCCAGGCAGAATATTCTAGGGCAGCCCTACCTCTGAGTTCCTGAGTACTGACAGTTTTAGCTGCATGCTTTGATTCTAGGAAACCTGGGGAATTGCAGCTGCTTTGCTTAATGCTGAAGAGTATCTTGAAGACATTTGAGTAGTTGCTGTTTTTTTTTTTTTTTCCTTAGAAATGAAACTTGGGAGAATCAGGGGGTGTTATCTGATACAAACTTAGAAGATCAAGAAAGCAGACATTTTGAGAAGGTAGCCTAGCCTTACTAATGAATGTAAATTGATACCAATGCCTCACCTATTCATGAAAGGGCTACCCCAGTCGTTGGGTTGTTTTTTAAAGGTTAGCCTTGGCCACCTCCATTAGAAGTTGTTGTATCAGTCTCCCGCAGTGCCAGGAATCTTATTTTGGCTCAGATAATGAAAGCAAAGCAGGTACTCATTGCTACAGAAAGGTTATTGAAAATCCCTTTATTCATCGTTGCCTTCGTGTTAGTTCTTTATCCACTTCATTCTTCCCCTCTGCCCACCATTTGCTAGTCTCCTATTATGTACCATGCCCTGTGTTTGGCACTGGGTGCATAACAGTGGCACAAGAGTGCCAGGTAAGAAGAGGCCTAAGGGGCCTGAAGGACAACCAGCAGCCAAGACGCAGGTGACTGCCAAAGCCAGGCTCCAAAAGCTTGCCCCCAAAGTCTGTCTATGACAAATGTATTTTATGCCATGGGTTAAGCTGTGTTCGTTAAGGTGTCATTGATGCCAGGGGAAAGATTTAAAGATTTCACTGTTTTCTCTTTTTGGTTCTAGAGAAAAACGGGTTTGGAAGTTCTCTTGTCTGGAAGTTGCTTTCTCTCCCATAATCCAGGATATGTGGGGCATCGGCAGAGAAGAGAGAGAGTGGGGTGAGTTCCCTAACGAAGGACCCATGTTGATACACGGCTCCTGGCCAGTGGGGACCCTGAAGATACTGCCTGACAAACTGATTCGGGATCAGGGCTAACACACCTCCCTAAGATACCTTGGATCAGTAAGATCATCTGAAGTCAAGGTCAGAGAACAGAGCCTGAACTAAGAAGAAAGTAGAAACTTCAGATAGGCAGCAGGCTCTGGGCTTGGCCTCCTCCTCTTTGCTGGGGCTGTCAGCTTCCATTGGCATTACTGATGTTTGAAGCCATGCTCACACATTGCACAAGCTGGAGCGACTTGAAAGTCTGGGCTGGTGTTCTGAAGAAGTTTATGCTAGCGTGGGGCTGATGCAGCTCGACCAGGAGCTGGCCAGACTCTTGGCTCTCTATGCCAGGTGGACACTCTTAGAATCAGTCAATCTTTTAGTCCCAGTTTGCAGATGAGTCAATTAGAGGCTTAAAGTCTTTCCCAAGGTGGAGGCGGAACAGGAAGTGGAACTCTTGTGTCCTAACTCCCACGGTGAGGCTGCCCAGACTCAAGACTGAAGACAAGGGGGGGAAACGAGAAAGGGAAGAGAGAGCAAAGAGAGGGAAAAACACGGGGGAAAGAAACAGAAGAACAAAAAACTGGGAAGAAGGGACCGGACGAAGAAGAAAACAGCAGAGGAGGCGGGAGCTCAACATGTGACTCTAAGTTTAATCCAATCAGCTGTTCTAAATTTTTTTTTAAATTTCTCCAACTTCCAAGGGAGGCAATGCATCGCTCACTTGGTTGTCTTTCCACTCCAAGGCAGAGCCTGGCATCTGAAAGGCGCATTGTCCCTCGTTGTGATAATGTAACTCTCTGTAAATGCTGCAGTCCAATGCACCAAGTCCTGTGCCCTGCTCTGCCCTCCCCCCGCTGGTGACCTGTGGGGACAGCTGAAAGCCTTCGGGTGCGCTGAGGCCAGAAGAGTGGGACTGGCCTTTCAGAAACAGCTGGGCTGATTCATCCAAAACAAAAGCCAGCTCTTCCAGCTAAATCCCTGGCAGGCACTGGTTGCCAGGCCAGCAGGCGCCTGTGCCCCTTGCCTCAGCTCCACGAGTCAGTCTGTCGTCTGAGAGCCTGCCCGAGCTCCCCACGGCCCAGTCCGCTGTCCCACCTGGCATGCTCCCAGCCCCACATGGGAGGCCGTGAATTTGGAATGGTAACAGGGTTCTGGTCCCTTTTTGCAGCTATGCAGTGGCAACAAGTGACTTCATGTGGCTGAGCCATCTGTGAACTGGGAGCCAGAGCAGTTTTAATCTGAGCCATTTATTGTTGGATTTGGACGAGATAATACCCAGAGCAGGCAGCCATGAATACTGTGGTTATTCAGTTTTCTTTGTTGCATCCTTATTTTTTTTTCCTGTTTTAAGATTTATTTAGTTGAAAGGCAGGGTGACAGAAAAAGGGAAAGAGAGACAGAAAAGTGTTCTACGTGCTGATTTATTCTCCAGATGTTTGCAACAGCCAGGGCTGAGACAAGGCAGAATATAAGAGATTGGAGGAACCCAAGAACTTGGCCATCTTTCATTGTTTTCCCAAGCATAATAGCAGGAAGCTGGATGAAAAATGGAGCATCTGGGACTCAAAGTGATACTCATATGGGATGCTGCTGTCACAGACTGATTAACCCGCTGTGCCCAACCCTTGCCCTGTCTGGATGCACACCTGTCTGACTTGGTCTTCTTCCAAACTCAGTGCACACACTCACACGGGCTGGCAAGAGCTCACCCAGCTTAAACACCTTGGCACTGCTTCTGGTGGACTCACACCAGTGCCTGTGTACAGAGCAATCTCTCTGCTCCAGATCTGGACATGAATAAGTTCATTTCCCCACATTTCTCTAACTGGACGTTGTTATCAGATAAAGAAACCAAGGCACAGACCTGGTGTTGCTCTCCACTAAGGTTTTTGAGTTTAAGAATACTGTGAAGTTTGACAGCAACTTTCTGGGCCAATGGAAACTCGGAGGTGGACTAGGACAGCCAATCAGCCTTGCAAAGATTTCCTCATCTGTGGAGCAGCACTACCAGCAGCATCTCAGAACTACTGAAAACCTATGAACAGAACCCTCAGAAAATGCTCACAGTGGGGAACCTGGGATGACATCGGGTGGCAGTTCCCCATCCCCCGGGGAATGTGGTGGTTGGGAGGCTGGGTGTGGCTTCTCTTGTAACCCCTCTCCCCGATATATGGGAAGAAGAAAATGTGTGAACAATCCACTATCCCCTGATCCTTGGCCCTTCCCACCATGATCAACTATGTACACATCATCAACAATAAAATTTTAAAAATTAAAAAAAAAAAAAGAATAACACTGCCTGAAAGATCGTTTGGTATCTGTGTATTTGAGGGATTTTGTAAATTACTTTTTAATCCTAAAAAGTAAAGGTTGGGGGCCAGTGCTGTGGCATAACAAGTAAAACCTCCACCTGTGGTGTCCCAGCTACTTCACTTCTGATCCTGTTCTCTGTCTACGGCCTGAGGAAGAAACAAAGGATGACCCAGTCCCTGAACCTGCCTGGAGGAAATTCCTGACTCCTGGTCCTGGTTCAGCTCAGCTCTGTCTGGCCATTGTGGTCATTTGAGGAGTGACCAGTGGATGGAAGATGTCTCTGGCTCTCATTCTCATTGTAATTCTGCCTTTCAGATAAAAATCAAGAAGTCTTTAAAACAAACAAAAGGGCCTGGTGCAGTAGCTTAGTGGCTTAAAGTCTTAGTAGCTTAAAGTTTTTGCCTTGAATGCGCTGGGATCCCATATGGGCACCAGTTCTAATTCCAGAAGCCCTGCTTCCCATCTAGCTTCCTACTTGTGACCTGGGAAAGCAGTCGAGGATGGCCCAAAGTCTTGGGACCCTGCACCCATGTGGGAGACCCGGAACAAGCTCCAGGCTCTTGGTTTCAGATCAGTGCATCGCTGGCCATTGCAGCTGCTTGGGGAGTGAATCATCAGACGAATGATCTTCCTCTCTGTATATCTGACTTTGCAATAAAAATAAATAAATCTTAAAAAAAAAAGTGGCGATGCAGAACAGGTCTATGTGCCTTTAAAAAATGAACAAGCAAAAAAACCTCATGGGTTGAGCACCATGGAGCAGCAGACTCAACCACCACCTATGATATTGGCATCCCATAGGAGCACAGGTTTGAATCTTAGCTGCTCTACCCACCTCCGATCCAGCTTGCTGGTAACACACCTGAGAAAGCAGTGGAAGAGAGCCCAAGTGTTTGGATCCCTGCCACCTTTATGGGAGACCAGGGTGGAGTTCCTGGCTCCAGGCCTTGGCTGGCTCAACCCCAGCCATTGAGATCATTTGGGTAATGATCCAGAGGATGGAAGATCTCTCTCTTTCCCTCTCCATAACTCTGCCTTTCAAGTAAATAAATCTTTTTTAAAACATAGCAATCTAAAAGCTCTCTTAAGATCGTTCTACATGTTTTAAACAATTGCAGAAACCATCTGAGAAAAGAAACCATGAGCTGCTACTGAGGGCTGCAGGAGGCGATACAGGCAGGGCCTGACACCTGGCCTGAGCACTGTCAAGATGAAATAATCCCTGACCCCAGAAAGTGCTGCGGAAAAGGGGGGCTGTCTTGTCCTTGACTTCTTCTTCTATGGCTGCAGAAGGAACTGGGTGCTGCGGCTTGAATATGGTTGGAGTATGTGTCTCTTCCACTCCCTCCCAAGGGACTTGTGTGTTAGATGCATGGTCCCCAAGGTGGCAGTGTGAAAGGTAATGAAATCTCTAAGGGGTGGAGTCTGATGGAGGTGTTGGGCGGGCACGTTGTTCTCTGTAGGGATAAGGTGGTTCTGTGGGACCCAGTTAGAGGGTGACTGCAAGACAGCAGGGCTGTCTTCTCCCCATTGTCTGGTCTCTTCTCTCACCTGTGATCCCTGCTGTCACGTGAGTACCTGCCACGAGGCCCTCACCAGAACCCATGCCTCGCCATTGGAGCTTTCAGCCTCCAAAACTCTGAGTTAAATGAACCTTTTTCTTTTGCAAGTGATCCAGCCTCAGGTAGTTCATTGTAACCAGGGACACTGGGCTGTGGAGAAAGGTCTGGAGTGTAATCTCACCCAACAAAGAAAGAGTGAGCAGACCATGCTAGCCACCTCACTTTAGAGGTAGGTGTGAGGCTTTGGTTGAAGTACCAAGTGGGAAGCCTATAGAAGGCACTCAGATTGTGGTAGTTAGAATTAGTTATCATGAGGAAGGTCATGGTCATAGTTGTTCCTTGGCAGTGATAGGCATCCGTGCTAAACACTTGTTTTGATTTGACACTGACGTTAGATCAGAAAATCAGGCCTTTGTGCCTTTTACTTCCAGGGCCATCTGAATGCAGGATGCTGACCAAGGGGCCCTAAGGGGTCAGAGCAGTGGCATTCTGGTACACCCTTAAGTGATAGCTTCTCGGTTGCAAGCATGACTGCAAACCTAACTTTTAGCCCTACTGGCATGACATTACCAAACATGAAAGAAAGATGCAAAAACATACAGTTAGAATATTTCTTTTAGATAAATAGCTAAAATCACCATAAGAGCATAGGTACAAGAAAGTAATTAGAAAGTACCTTTGAGAACTGGTGGCCTTCCAGCATAACTTCCTTAATTATGTACGTTTAGAGGCATGGTTATTGCAGGTTGTGGTCAACAGCCAGCTGTCACAATTCCTGATTTTTTTTAAAGGATTTAGTTATTTTTATTACAAAGTCAGATATACAGAGAGGAGGAGAGACAGAGAGGAAGATCTTCCATCTGATGATTCACTCCCCAAGTGAGCATAATGGCCGATGTTATGCCAATCCAAAGCCAGGATCCAGGAGCTTGTTCCAGGTCTCCCACATGGGTGCAGGGTTCCAAAGCTTTGGGCCATCCTCGACTGCTTTCCCAGGCCACAAGCAGGGAGTTGGATAGGAAGTGGAGCTGCTGGGATTAGAACTGGTGCCCATATGGGATCCTGGCGCATTCAAGGCGAGGACTTTAGCCGCTAGGGCACCGGGCCCACAAATCCTGAATTTTAACAGCCAACTCTTGTGAGTCAGAGTGAGCTGAGATGAAGATGGAGTTAGAGTGGCAGAGCTTAGGCAGCTGCCTGTAGCACTTGGGCCCACCTTGGGTCTAACCCCGAGGCCTGGCTTTCTCTAGTGATC